GCAGGAATGTTTTCCTATGGCGTATTTTGGGGAGCACAGTGATCAAAAGACCCCTCTCTTTAACCATGCACCTCTTGAGGTGACAAGAATGAATATGTTGTTATCTCTACTGTGGGCTTTTCCTGAGAAACAAGCACAGAAAGCCCTATGTCAACTCTCTCGCTCCCCTAGGGCTTGTTCTTTCCTTTCAGTCTTTGCGATGAACAGCAAGAGAACAGTTCTGTTCAAATGCACTTCCTGGAGTAAGGTGGTCATGCAACATTTACAAGTACCAGTCTGTTACAAAAGAACCCAACAAAAAAATAATTCTAATATTGTTAAAGGCAGAGATCAGAAAGAAATCTTCCTGCTGTGCTACACAGGAAGCATGAAGTCCTACAAAAGGCTTCATAAACTTCAATAGCTCTGCCTTCACAGCCTACAACTCAGACTTCAGTAACAGTGAAAGGGTACATGAAGTAAAAAAGTTACTAATGCAAGACAGGAGAAAAATCCAGAAAAATCCATCTTGCAAGACAAAGAGAAGTGACTACAGGTCTTAGTGAGACAGTTAGCATCGCCTGCAAGCTCAGCAGTGTTAGTTTTTGCCCCGTGTTAGGTCAACTGCAGACAAAGCTGGGAGTAGGGAGAAGGGAATGGCAGCTGGCGATCCTGCTGCGCCTCTACCTTTGCAAGGCATTGTTCCACATGCCTACTCATCTCCTCCTCGGATCCTGACAGAGGTCGGCTGCAGAGGGGACATACCTGCCCTTCGTCTTGCTTCCTCCGTTTCATTTTTCCAATCCGAGCTGCATGGAGAAACCAGGGAAAGAAAACAAACAGAAAAGGGAAAGGAAGACATGTCAAGTTTGTAGTTTCACTCTTCTATTTGCTCAGCTCCAAATAATAAACCCTTGGCAGAAATAGTAAGATTTCACACCAGAAAACCCCTATTTTGACCTCTGCAAACAGTACAGTGTTACTTAGCACTTTCCAGAGTAAATTTGTAACCTGTGGCTGAGTACACCCTGTTTTCAGAAAGGCAGCTACTCATGATTTAATAACTAGAAGAGGAAATACCTGCTGCACATCCCCAGGTAAGTTATTCAAATGGTTAAATATTTTTTCTTGGAAGCCTGAAATTGTTTTCAAAGTTGAGCAATCAAGCCACTGAATCCTGTTCTGGATTTTGCCTTCTAAGTCTGAGCCCCATCCACGGACACATCTACCCCCTATAGAAGAACTTGCTTAGACTGTAGAAGGATGATGTAGCACCTGAAAAGCCTTGGAGAAGGTATTTAACAGTCACTTCCAGGACCAGAGTCTCCTGTACGCCCTGAATAATTCCTTCCCAGAACATTGCAAGTCAGAGCAGCATCTTAGCAGGTACCATTTACGGAGAGGAAAGATCTTTGCTGCGAAAAACACAGCACCTATACTAGATAGCTTCTGGCACTCTATTATTTTTATTTCACTGTTTTCACATAGAGGAATACTGGGGGCTACACTGCCTTCTTGAGGGCATGCTCTGGGAAACAAACATGTCAGGAATCACAATGATTAGGAAAAGCAGCCAAGGTAGCCTGTTGCTTAATCCAATCTCTGGTTAATTTGAGCCATCGTTTAATGTGATCAAAACATCTGGAACCAAATCATTTGCATTAAAAAACTTCTGTCCTTTATTATGATGGCTTTAGGCAGGTATTACTGAATAACTCAATCACTGGCTGGAGGAAAGTCACTCTTTAATTAATAAGGAAGGTCAAAATTCTGAATGGGAGACAAGGAAAAGCCCAAGGAAAGCCCATGTGATAATGAGAGATGACACCACCAAAAAGCTGTGTTAGCCAGAAATCATTACTGACATTGTGAGCACTGCAGCATGCTCTGAAAGCCTTCATGCTTGAATACTGTAGCATCAACAGCTCCCTGCAGCCAACAAGTCAGAGAAAGCTGCTGGAAGGCCAGGAAGGGAAGAAATAGGGTACATGAAAGTTTGTCAGTCGTTTTTCTACAGTGCATCAGTTTAGTCCATGCACATCACCAAGTGAATTATAAAGTTTCAGCTGAATACACTAACACAGACCTGAAAGGCCTCTTTTAAGGCTTTCTTGTTGGCTTCCCTGGACTCAAGAATATCTGGGTTAGGATATACTTTCCCACAATCCAGAATTAGAAGTATTCATCATCCCCTACACTCTCTGATGCTCTAGGATTAAAGCGGCTTCAAATTTTTCCCTGGGCATTACTCTTCTTCACTGAACGAGACAGATTTGTGGGAAAACTCCCTGAAAAATAAGTCTCCACTCCTAGCATCATGAAAAGGTTTCTGCAAAAGGGACATTCCTAAAATGCAACTTGAGATTCAAAACAAGAGTGGTTTTGATACTTGGCACTTTGAACAAGAGACTCTCAAGTAAGTGCACACCACTTTCATTGTTCATCTGAATTTTATTTGCTGAAGCTCCACAACCCTCCCTTGTGTTGGGTACACCACACTGCCAGCCCACCTGTCTCTCCACATGCATCAGATACTTCAACATTCCTACTGGGGTATTTCAATACTTTCCTTTCTAATTTTTCTGCTTAAATGTGTTATCTTACCTATACTGTCAGCTTCTCCTTCAGAAGGTAAACCACTTGACTTCCAGTCAGTATAGAAGCAAACATCATGAAGTGTTATTGCTAATTTCATTGTGCCCAGATGAATTATGTTTTGCTTTTAAATAAAACAATGACCCCCCCAGCAATTCTTGTGTGTTTTCTCTCCCTCTCCTGTGCTCTCAAAAGCTATCCCTCCTTCCCCTTCAATGTCACTCAGCCCTGTTCAGAAGTACACAGAGTTAAGTCATGCTCTTTCTGGTTTGTACTTCAGTGCAGAAGAGGTTTCTCCAGTTCTGGTTTAGTGAATACCTGTATCCTCCAGTACAGTTCTTCCGTGTAAGTTTAAGATGCTCTTTCCTTGCTCCACTAACTCTATAGAGCCAGCACAAAATAGAATAGAAGGCTGGAATCAGGTATGACTTGAGTATTCTCCAGCATACATCTATTTGACCAGAGAAAAACACAGGAGCAAAGCCTCCTCTATCCTGATTGCAGACACTTCTTTCTTTTACCTTGTCTTCTTTCAAGAAGGGAAATATAGCGAAGAAGCAGTTTAATTTTTCTGGTAGGACTCCCTATGGCAAATCAATTCAGTTAAGTCAGTCTGCCTGGCAAATTTACTAGTATTTTTTACTTTTTTACTGCTATCCTCTAGTCCATGTGCTGTAACAATGATAAAAGGAAGACAACTTATTTTAGGTCTTTCACTGATAAATTCCTGGGACCATTTTGCTAGAACAAGCACCTTGAAATGTTACTGCAGAGCTGGGAACAGAACCTCATGCCACTCCAGCTCCATGCAAGACTCAGCAGACAGCCCCCATCTTGGCTCATTTAGCTCTGCCGAGAAGCAGCCCTTAGTGTCACAAGTGAAAAAGCCACTGGAAGTAAGAGGTGTTGAAAACAAACCCCCTGCCATTTCCATTCTGTGGTCAGCAGCAGCAGCAGTGTTGTGCCCATGGAGGGCTCAGGGTACCCCAGGTGACAGCAGAAACCAGGAGGGAATGCTGCAGCCTGGAAAGCACATCCAAAGCAGTGCTGTCCCTACCCGACACAACGTGCAACCAGGCTATCACTTCCAATCAGTGCAGAAGGGACAGAGCGGCCCCAAAGGCAGGGGGTGATTGTGGTGCTGTCCCGAAGGGGAGCAGCTCAAAAGAACACGCAAGTGAGACCACAGGATTGTTAATTAGTGTTGATAGATGCGATCATTTCTAATTAGCTCACTAATCCCTCTCCCTCTTGCTCCTGTCGCAGGAGCATGGAAGAAGGGAGGGGAAAAAAAAGAGCCATTCCCTCTTGTAATTCAGGAAGACAAAAATGCAGCCAGTGGGGGACTGGATGTAAGAAGAGGACGGCGTTCAGGGAAGGTCTTTGCACAAGGCTGACCCTCAACACCTCATTCTTATCTGTAATTGAACAAAGACTTTGTAGTTATTATTCCAGCCTTCTGCCAGGAGGTGAGGAGTTCACTAATTTTTATTAGCACTAATAATTATTATTAGGCCATCAGAGGGCTTCCAGCATGACTGAGGCCTCATTTTTAACAGACGTACATTACCCTACAAACTGCTCCTGCTGCACTTGCATGTTCTCCCTCAGGTTACACCAAACCACCAGGCACTCAGGGAGTTTTAGTCACTACAACACATGAATGAGAAAGCAGCAGAATAGAGGTGAGCAATAATTAGGACCCTGCGCAAGGGCTGAGGCCTCAGCTGCAGTCTCTGACCTAACTTAGGAGCTACGCTGGCTAAGGGAGATGCTCTTCCCTTTCCTAATACAGGGTCTTTTGGGACAGCACAAGGCGAGAAGCTGCTTTTGGCACTAGAGGAAGAGCCAAATTGCACTTGACAAAGCCTCTACTGCTGAGGGTACACTGGTCCCTGCCTTCCCATGGGTGAGGAGAGGAGCCAACCTTATGAGTGGAAGAGACCAAGGATCTTTTGTCACAACAGGCTCCCCACATCAAGGCTAAACCTTATTAATGCTTAAAGATCATGTTATTCTCTAACTCAGCAAAACTTCCCGAGAGAAAAGCTAATGGATGTTAGTTCTCACTAGTACTCCCCTCCCCAAGCAAAAATTCACCTTCAGGACAGGGCATTAATTACCTCAGAAGTGCTCTTACACAGCATCTAGCAGTGGACATTATACAAACCTCTACCGCAGCATCAAAGGAGATGATTAAGTTACTAGCAATATCTCTTATGATTCCCTCCACCAGTTTGAGTGGTCCCCCGAGTCCCATGCAGACATCATTAGCAGCTCCTGCAATGGCAGGCCAATCAAATTAAGTGGAAACATTTTTTGTCTCCTTTCCAGTGAAAATCATCCAGCTTTCTTCCTCCCCCCACCCATCAGCTACAAAAGCACGTGAAATGCTGGTGGTAGTTCAACAACAAAGTGCACAGTGGCCACCTCCATGGATGCCAGCCCAGAGACAGGCTTATGGCCACCACCAAAACAGGCATCAGTTTCTCAGGCAGGTGCAAAAGGAGCTTTGTAAAGTTCCTATTTTACAACTGCACTGAAAATACACCTAAATTTGCATTAAAGGTATTCAAGCACAAGAGCTAGCACCCATTCTCTTCAAATCTACTAGAGCAGTCTTGAGGAGTGGTTATACCTATTTTCATTAGGCTTGTCACAAAAAACTTCTGTGGATGAGCAACTTCTCCAAGAGCATCTGATCAAAGGTAACAAAGGCAGCAATGGCAGAGCACAAAAAAAAAAAATCTCAAAAATAAGCTAAAGCAAAAAGCCAGATGGTCAAGAATGAATGCGTTTCAGACCTCACGTACAATTTGCTGCTCATCTACCCAAGAGAGAATGAGAAGGGCCAAATTCACAGGAGGGTCTCAGTGGGACTTCCACATTTACATGGCCAAAGTTTCACACAGATGATTTTCAGCAACCTTCTGACATTTTTCTCCAAGGTTGGCACATACTTAACCTGCTGAATCCAGGTTCTGCAACACTAACCCATAACTTTGTGCCTCTAATTTGGAACGACTACCTAGCCTGCTCTGCACTGCTGAACTCCATAAGCATCAATTTACAGGGTTGCTTAAAGTTTCCAGTTTGGCAACACTGGAAATAAGGCAAATGAAAGAAATGCCTTCTTTATCATACAGGATCATCAGGAATCAACACCTCATACTCCTGGGTTCACAAGGACACAACCTCTGCAGACTGAG